CTGCACTCCGGTCTGGGCGACAGAGTGAGACTCCAACTCAAAAAAAAAAAAAGTAACATGTGCTTGAAATTATACTTTGGAAACTTAGGAATGAGACCAAGCAAACAAAGCAGGTTCTCCGTAGTACAGATCCTGTCCAGCCAATAGTTCAGAGGGCTCTTAATCCTATTCTCTGGCCCCCTGCCATCTCAGATGATCCCGTGAGCTATCTACTGGAAGAACTCCTGGCTTCATGGTTAACCTGTCATAATGTAACAATCAAAACCGCAAGCTCCTCAATGCATTTGGCATCTGTGCACAACAGTTCTAAAATGGACATAATTTTTTTTTTAATTGTAGAGACGAGGTCTCGCCAAGTTGCCTGTGCTGGTCTCAAACCCATGGGTTCAAGCAATGCACTAGCCTCGGCCCCCCAAAGTGCTTAGATGACAGGCTGAGCCACCAAGCCCGGACGGACATTAACTTTAAGGCATCTTCCACTAACTAAACCACTGCTTTTATTCTACTCAAAGATCTACAATGTGATTATAAAGATGCACGGAGACACCTAGTAACGATGCTAATGCTGACCTCCGGCCCATCGAAGACTCCTCCTGCCTCCCCCAGGTTTGCGGAACTGGCACCCCAGCAGGAAATAACGCCGCCCAGATACACACCATGCAAGATGACATCGCTGTGAGGAGTATGAGGGTCCACCAGAGGAGTTTGCTCCTCACTGACCCTTGGCTTTGACCGACGTGGCCTGGCTTCTGGATTTGGCTGCACCATGAGTGGCTCGAGGCGCTTTTTCCTCTGCTTCTTCTCCAGCAGTGCTCTCTGGGAGGAAATGACAGCCAGGAGAATTATGATGAGCCCTAGATGCTTCAAATATTTAGTTTGTTTTTCACTGATCCTCACAAAACCTCTTGCAAATTATTTTTTCCCCTGTATGAAATGAGAAAAATGAGGCACAGAGATGAAGCAAAGAGTAACAAATAATCATCAAATTTGGGCTAAGGGTGAAAAGAAAAAGAGTGGCAGTTAGAATATGCCAGAAAGAAAGCAGTAAACTCTATGAATAAAAGTAAGTAAAGAATATGGTAGCAGCTGGGCTCAGTGGCTCATCCTGTAATCTCAGGAGGCCGAGGTGAGTGGATTGCCTGAGACTGTAAGTTCAAGATCCGCCTGGGCAACTTGGCGAGTTCTCGTGTCTACAATAAATCAAAACTTAGCTGGGCGTGGTAGCGTGCACCTGTAGTTCCAGCTACTTGGAAGGCTGAGGCGGAAGGACCGCCAGAGTCCAGCAGGTTGAGGCTGTGGTGGCCGAGAGGCATGCCACTGCCCTCCAGTCTGGGTGACAGAGTGAGACTCCAACTCAAAAAGAAGAAAAAAAAAAAAGAATTTGGTAGCAAGAATAGTCAGGAAAAAAGCATGAGAGACTATTTGTTAAAATCCAGCAAATTAAAAGGAAAGTACTAAAACATATACTATTTTTAAACTTTATTGAGTTGTAATCTCACTCTGTCGCCTAGGCTGGAATACAGTGGCACACTCATGGCCAATGCAGCCTTGATCTGCTGGGCTCAGGCACTCGTTCCGCTTCAGCCTTCCAAGTAGCTGGAACTACAGGCACCACACCTGGTTAATTTTTTCATTTTATTTTAGAGTCAAGGTCTCGCCAAGTTGCCCAGGCTGGTCTGGGACCCTGGGCTCAGGCAATTCTCTTGCTTTGGCTCCCAAAGTGCTGGGATTACAGGCGTGAACCACCACACCCCGTGCCTCACCAATTTTATTAACATCTGTAAGGAAAAAATATTCTATAGAAAAGTCTTCTGCTTGTGTTCTATAAGAGGAGGCTGCTAGAAGTTGACAGAATATATCCAGTTTGTCCAAGAAAGAGAAACACCAAATCTATCAGGTAAGAGTATTCCATTCAATGGAGAGCTTACTCTCATTGAAGATAGGAAACCATATACAAGGTTTCTTCATGGCTCTGATGAAGTAACCCCCGGCACTATCTAATTTCATTCCCTCTGATTCCTTGCTCGCCAATCAGTCTTCTAATTTCCAGCTTAACTTTGTAGGTATTGTATTCCCAGAAAGTATCATGAACAGTAGAGATGAATACACTCTGAAAGAGCAGAGCTCCCACTGTAAATTAATAACTTGGTATTCTGGCCTTATAATTTACTGGTGTGAGTTTAACTAGTGTGAGCCTGTGCCAAAGGATCTGATTACATCCAGATTCACTGACAAACCAAGCTCTCAGACCCGTGAAGGGCACACTAGACCCTTGACCACAGGGATCCTGCCAAGATGTCTGGGAAAGCCTCTCTCTCTTCACTTCAACACCCATCAAACTCAGACCAGTGACAAGAAAAACAACTGTAGACTCACACTGTAAACTTCAAGGCCATGGCTACAATTTTTTTTTAAATTAAACAGATGTGTGGCACATGCCTGTAGTCCTAGCTACACAGGAGGATGGCATGAACCCAGGGGCTTAAGGTTGCAGTGAGCTATGATTGCACGACTGTACACTAGCATAGGCAACAGATGGAGACCTCATCTCCTAAAAAAGAAAAAAACAAACTATAAAACTCTTAGAAGAAATCACAGGAGCAAGCCTTTGTAATCTTGGGTTAGGCAAATTTTTTTAAAAACATTTTTCAATCATTTTAATGCTGAAAATGATACCATCAAGAAAATAAAGAAGGCTGGGCACGGTGGCTCAAGCCTATAATCCTAGAAATTTGGGAGGTGGTGGTGAGAGGATTGCCTGAGCCCTCGGGTTCGAGACCAGCCTGGGCAACTCGGCAAAACTCATCTCCATAATAAATCAAGAAAAATGAGCTGGGTGTGGTGGCACATTCCTGTAGTTCCAGCTCCTTGGAAAGCTGAGGCGGAAGGATCGTCCGAGCCCAGCAGGTAGAGGCTGTGGAGGCCGTGAGGGTGCCACTGCCCTCCAGTCTGGGTGAGTGAGACTGTGACTCAAAAGAAAAGAAAAGAAAAGAAAGACAACCCACAGGATGAGAGAAAATATCTACCAATCCTATTTCTGACAAGGATCCTGGATCCAGAAGCATAAAGAACCCTCCCACCTCCACAACAACAACAAAAACCAACCCAATTAAAAAGCATTAAAATGACTGAAAAACGTTTTTGAAAAACTTGCCTGTAATCACAGTGTGCTGGGAGGCAGAGGCAGGAGGAGCCCTTGAACTCAGGAGTTTGAGACCAGTCTGGGCAACATAGTGGGACACTGTCTCCACAAAAAAATTTTTCATATTAGCTGGGCATGGCGTTGTGCCCCTTGTCCCGTTACTTGGGAAGCCGAGGCTCCCCAGGAGTTCAAGGTTACAGAGAGCTATGATTGCGTCATTGTGCTGCAGCCTGGGTGACAGAGCAAGATCCTGTCTCCAAAGAAAAAAAAGACCACTAAGCATATTTTTTTAAAAGCCCAATGTAATTAGTCATTAAGGTAGTATAAAGCAGAACTACAGTGAGATACCACTTCACACCCACTAAAATGGCTCTAAATCAAAGACAGACAACAACAAGTATTGATGAGAATCCAGAAAAACTACAGGCTTCATGCATTGCTGGTGAGAACGTAAAATGGAAACAGACCGGCAGTTCCTTAAAGTATTAAACACAAAGTTGCCACAGACCCAGCAATTCCTCTCCTAGGTATGCATTGCCAAGAGAAATAAGAATGTGTCCACACAGAAACCTGTACATGGATATCCAGAGGAGTCTTATTTATAATGGCTACAAAGTGGAGACAACCCAAACGTCTACAAACAAAATGTGATATATCCATATCTTGTAATGTTACCCAACAATCAAAAGGAACAAGTAGGCTGCGCTCGGTTGGTGGTTCAGCCTGCAATCCCAGCACTTTGCCTGAGCCCGCAGATTCAGTTGGACTGCCTGAGCCCGCGGGTTCAAGACCGGCCCAGGCAACTTGGCAAGCCCTGTCTCTACAATAAACCAAAAAATGAGCCAGGCGTGGTAGCGTACGCCTGTAGTTCTGGCTACTTGAAAGGCTGAGGTGGAAGGACTGCTGGAGCCCAGCCGATCAACTCTGGGGTGGCCGTGAGCATGCCCCTGCATTCCAGCCTAGGCGAGAGTGAGACTCCAACTCCAAAAAAAAACAAAAAAAGTCGGGCTCGGTGGCTCAGCCTGTAATCCCGCGCCTTTGGGAGGCTGAGGTGAGTGGACTGCCTGAGCCCGCGG